TCTCGTTCGGTGCCGTACTGGGAGACCATTGTAAGAGACGGCACGTTCGAGGGCGGAGTCGCCGTGTTCGACAGGTCTGTCATGTGTGCCCGACTGACTCCGGTTGCACGGTGTCGTGGCCGTTGCGTGTGGAGCGGCTTGGGGTTTCGAGAAATTGCATACGTGCCCCACCCACCACAAGCCCCAGCCAGGCTTTGTCGACGCCTGAAGAATGAAGTCCAGAGAAGGGAATGGGCGCCTGAGTTTGGGAGGCATATGCGCCTGGTGGCGTGTGTTGATGGTATGTGAATGCTGTCGTGTCGAGCGGCAAACTCGATTTTTCTTTTCATGCTTGGTGTCAACCGTGGCCCTTTCAGCCGCCTCTGATGACGACGTCGCCCTTGCAGGTGCCGTAGGAGCAGCAAATCTCGGGTTGCGCCTTTCCAGAAAGGATGAGGTCGCGGTTGAACTGGCATGTGGTCAGCATGTGGCACTTCGTTGGGGGGGGGCTAGGTAGATACGTACGTCCGAGCAGCGAATCGGTGATGCTTGTACCGCGATACCAAAGGAGAGCATGGCGGCCATGGCCGAACAGATGATGTGAAGCTGCATGACGGTGTGTGGTGTAGTGAAGTTCCACCTCGGGCTATCCTATCTGTTAGGATGCGAGAACTGGTCTCGTGGCTGGCACACTGTACATATGAAAAGGCAAGGATATCTTGACAACCAAACAACACGAAGGCCGGCGAAGGGGACAACAGTTGCTTATGAAGGCCTCAGCAACGGAAGGCTGCGACAAGGCTCCGGTGCACAAGGTAACGCCATGGCACGGCAGAACCCACCCGAACGAGATGACGGCGGGCTTCCGGCAAGATCGCCTGTACGAGCAAGATGACGAGAGTGGGCAGCCGCAGACAGATCGGCCGCCATTGGGCGAGGCGAGGGTCTTCTCGAATGAAGACCGCCACACATCAGGCCGCGTTGGGGCAAGTCGCAATGAGGCTTATCTTGACAGGATGCACAGGGGGCCGGAGGGAGGGGGGGAACGGTGGTCATCCATGCCGGCTCGGGAGTAGCCCAGGTGTCTAGTGCGGTTGGATGGTGGTCGGTGAAACGTCGACAGATGACGGCAGGGTCCGCTCCAGAACGTGCTGGACAAGGGGCCCCCGGAATCAGCGTGGTGATGTGAAGAAGAGTGAGAAAAAAAACGTGATGGTTCACTTGACTGGAATGGTGGCCGAGGTGCTGGGACGCCACAGCATACCAGACGAGTCGACCGATTGCAGCGAAAACAAACACACTGGAAGCCCCGAACAGCCAACGACGGGAACGGCATGACGATGGGGGCGACCGCTGCAGCTGAGGAATAGTATTCCAGGGACGGCGTTGGTGGAGACGACGAGTCGAAAAATAGCAATCGGCATATGTCGCTCGGCTGTCTCCGAGTGGACCAACGCGCTCATGTCGGCTGATGATGACTCAGGGCGGAATGAACGACAGTGGCGGGCGCCTCGTTCGGCTGACTGTCAGCCTTGGGCCTCAGGCCTCAGGCACCTCAGCCCTATTCCGTTTCGTCGATACTGCAACCAACGTGACTCACCTAGGTACCTAGCCTTGCAAATTCGGCATTCAGTTGCAACATGTTGCTCAACACTGGCGCAGTCTCGCCTGCATTGTTTTCTCACGTCACTTGCCTTCCCTCGCAAACCAAGCGCTGCTTGTCTGACCCGAAAATAGCCAGTGGGTGAGTAGCTAGCGGGAGTAGCAAGCGGCACGCAGCTAGCCGGCCCTCGTATTACGTGAAGCCTATCCCACACTCGAGACTCGCGTAGTACCCGTCCGTCTTGTGAGGGTCCGAGACTCGTCGCTGGAGAGCTTGTGGCGCGCTGGGATGGACACTGTATTGCTTGCCATGCTGCCATCTTGGCTAGCCTCAGCTTCACCTTGAGTTCTCGAGGGCGTGCCTGGTCCTCTGGTCTTGTTCAGCCGCCGCGCCAAGGCTTTGTTTTTGTTCCCTTCACTGTCCGCGGGCCGCCTAGTGCCTCGACGTGTCTTGGTGTGCCTACCTCTTCAACCCGGAGACTTGGGAGGGTTCAGTGCCAGGATTGTATGTATTGTACCTCGCACACAATCTGGGAGTCTCAGTGTGGGGATCTCCGATGGGGAACGACAAACTCAGAATTTTTGGCCAAGAACTAACGCACAACCCGGCCTTGAGACGGGAGTGGGGTGCAAGGTTTTCTAGTCAAGGTGACTTTCTCTGTATGCAACGCAGTATGCAATGCGAACCTTTTTAGCCAACTCTGTGTACCTGGGTAGCCATGGGTGACGGAGCTCGAGTGACGTTCATCCGGGACGGATAGACTGACAGGCCAAGAGATCGTGGCCGTCATGCGACTCGGGGGGGTCAGACACCGTTCAGTCATGACCATCTACATGCATTGAGACATAATACACCTATGTTACATGATCCGATCCAGGGGATATCATTCGTGCGTCTCGGCCTCATCAAAGCTCGCCGACTCGTCGCCCACAGATGACGCAGTATCATCGTGTGCATCGTCCACCATGACGGCGTCGTCTACTTCGTCCGAAAAGGCCACAACCTTGGACGACGGCGACTTCTTCGGCGTCTCCAGCACGTCGCCGCTCCACGGCTTGCACTCCTTGACGAGCTCGCCGCACCGCAGACACGTCCAGCCCTCGCCCTCCTCCCTCTCCAGCCGCGTGGCGAGGCAGACGAAGCAGTAGACGCAGCCGCACGGCATCGTCTCGTACGGATTCGTTATGTCCGTCTGCGCAGAGCCGACAACGCCGCTCGACGCCGCGGCCGCCATGATCTCGTTCTCGGTGGCCAGCGTGTTCTGGTCCTGGTAGCAAATGGCGCACGTGCGCTCAGGGAGGAAGGCAAACTCGCCCCTCTTGACGCCGTCGTCGTCGCCGCCGTTTGTCTGCATGATGCCCTTTGTCTTGCGCCACGTGCGGGCGAACCACCGCCTCCAGCGGTGGATGCCGACGAGCGGCAGCACGAAGAGGAGGAACTCGGTAAAGGCGTGCCACACGAGCTGGGCGGTTGAGGTACTCAAACGAGGCCTCGCGGCTGACCTGGCTCGTCGCGGCCCGAGGCGCATGCGCAGCAGGCGGTCGAGGAGCGTCCGGTACCGGCCGTGCAGGAGGAAGACGAGAAATGACACGCACGCGGCGCCCGCGTGGAGCGTCGACAGGCGCTCGGTGAGGCGCGCCAGTAGTTGGATGCGCGGGCTCGGCTCGTCGTGGCCGTCGTCGCGCTCGACGAGCCAGTCCTCCCACCTCGTCCAGGCGTACTTGCCGAAGACGGTGACGAGAA